TAACAAGTCTACTTACCCAAGGATCGAACCCGAGTTAACTGACAGTAATGATGATAATAATTTTAAAGCCTGAAATTCGCCCGGAACATCACACCTAAGGAACACTGCAGTAAAATCCTATCGAGAAATGGCTTCACGGAAAAATGCAGTGTACAAGATACTTTTTTCAACAAATATTTTCCTTTCTCCATCTGGGCTGCCCTATATCCACTATTTTTAAGTCGCTGACCACGCCCGGACGCGTATATGAAGTGGCAAAAGCATATTTTACTGGTACCGAGGGAGAATCTTACTTGGTGAATCGCGGTGCCTCCTCATCTAAGCCCACAGGTGGCAGCTGCGGCCTTGTCTGCCGGAGGGGAGCAATCACCTCCTCGTCAATGGACTCACCGATGACGGATTTGTGGGTCTCAGACACCATTAGACTACCGTGAGTTTCTGCCTCACCGAAGGGCGTAGTAAGTCGAAAAGTGTACACGGCGCTGTCGTCTCCGAAGGTCTCCTCAATCGTCAACGTGGCTGAGTGCTGGTCCATCTGTGTGCGGCAGTCCGGAGCCATGAGCGGAATGCCGTCCTTCAGCCAGTGGCCAACCAGATCAACTGCATCAGGGTAGTCTGTGGGAAAAAAATAAATGAAATAGGCTTATTGGCAAAGCATCCTACATGATTGACCAGGCTTGCTTGAATGCAAGCAAATCCAGTTACGTTAACCCATTACTTAGGTTATATCCGCTTGCAATGAGAGAGGAAGGCAATACAGAACGTCCTAAGTACTCAGTTGTGGTAGGGGTTGGCTCTTAAACTGCCTGAAAGAAGCTAGTAGAGTTGCAAAAACGACTATTTGTTTTAGAAGCACGACGGAGCAAGTCAGAATAAATGACTTTACTCTGCCGGAGGCATGGTAGTTTAAAGTAGTAGCAGTAGTATCAGTAGTATATATTTATGTCTACTCATTGACAAGTAAAGTTCGTTGGGAACAAATAAGGTATATCATGGAAATTTCCGAGTCTGATCACCCAGTTCATCCTCA